TTAGTTATAGAAATAAAACTATGACATTGTATTGGGGAACAGAGGTACTTACAGTTCCAATCGAATATCGTATCTCTTCAAAAGTTAAAATAGAAGTAGTAGAAAACAACGATAGCGAAGAAGAATATGAAACTGGAGAACATGAAGAAGATGATAATGAAGAAAATAAGCAAGAAGAAATGTTCTGTTTCTCAAAGGAAATTACTGAAGAAGAAATCAAACAAATTGAGGAACAAGTTAGGAAGCCTTCTGAAGACAATCAAACAGTAAGACAAGCATTTTATCAATATAAAGAAATTGAAAAGGGAACTTTTCATACAGGAAATCTTACAGAAGAACAAATGACAAAATTCAAGGACTTTATGGAACAATATGTTGATCTTTTTATCTGAGAATCTGACCAATATGGAAAGACAAATGTAGTCACATATAGTTTCGATACAAAAGATGCAACCCCAATAAAACAAAGATTTTATAAGACTTCACACAATAACCAGGAATTCATCAAGGAAGAAATTCAAAAACTTTTAAAGTCAGGACTTATTAGACCATCTAAAAGTCAATGGACTTCACCTGTGGTTGTAGTTGAAAAAAAGAACAGTAAAAAATGTTTATGCATAGACTATCAAAAGCTAAACAGTATCACAAAAAAGAATAATTATCCTTTGCCTCGAATTGATGATATGTTAGAGACACTTGAAGGATCTCAATGGTTTACTTCATTAGATCTTGCCAGTGGCTTTTGGCAAGTTGAATTGGAATCTAAAGATAGAGAAAAGACCACTTTTATAACCCGTTTCAGGACATACGAGTTCAATGTTATGCCTTTTGGACTTTGTAATGCTCCTGTTACGTTTCAGAGGCTAATGGATCCTGTTCTACATAATATTTTATGATAATACATAGTTGTTTATGTTGATGACATCAACATTGATTCAAGATCTTTCGATGAACACTTATTACATCCGGAACAAGTGTTCTTGAGACTACGGCAAGCTGGATTAAAGCTCAGTCCTGAAAAGTGTTTTTCTTTGAGCAAAAATTACCTTTTCTTGGACACGTGATCAGTAGAGAAGGAATACAAACAGATCCTGAAAAAGTGGCTTCGATAAAAAATTTTCCTATACCAAGAGACCTTACGCAATTAAGGGGCTTTATAGCTTTGGCTTCTTATTACAGAAATTTCATTAAAGGCTTTGCTGATATAGTCGAACCTTTAAATAGATTGCTCAAAAGAATACTCCATATATTTGGACATTATCACAACAAGATGCCTTCAAAAAATTAAAGTACAAGTTGATTACCCCCCCTATATTGGCTTACCCTAACTTTAACAAGCTATTTATTCTATATACTGATGCTTCCTCTTTTGCCCTGGGGGCAATATTATCACAGAAGGATGATCAGAAAAGAGAATGTGTTATCACATACGCAAGTTGAACCCTTAAATCTCCTAAACGAAGACCTAGGTATTATTCAAATTCAATTTTGTGTATTTTATATTAGACCTAGATATTTACATAATAAAAATTTAGAATATTCTGTAACTGAACAGGAATGCTTAGCTGTTATGTGGGCTACTAAGTATTTCCATCATTATCTCTATGGACATAAGTTTCTTGTAATAACCGATCATGCCACGTTAGCCTATCTTAAGAATATGTCAAATCCTGTTGGACGATTGGGATGATGGTTAATGATTCTGAATGCTTATGATATTGAAATAGTTAATCGATCAGGTAAAATTATTCCAACGTAGATACTTTAAGTCGAATAGTACATTAGAACAAAAACCTTAGAAATTTCATAAGCTAAACGGAATTTATAACTCAACAGACTTCTTTTCTGATATCGGATAATTGACTAATGCAACCATGGATTCAACAACATATTACCCATTATTACAATATTTAACTAACTTGCAAATGCCACCACACTTAACAACACAACAAAAGGAATCAATAAAACGAAAATCAAGATACTTTATAGTGATCGAGGGATAACTATATAAAAAGAACAAAACAGAATCACATAGACTATTAAAAGTTGTCAAAGAGAATGAAATCAACATTATTTTATATAATCTACATTCAGATCCACTGGCCGGACATTTTGCTTTAGAAGAAACCTACAGGAGAGTGAAGATACAGTACTATTGGCCACAGATATATGACGATGTTCGCAAATACGTTCAGTCATGTGATGAATGTCAAAAAAGAGGAGTAAATAAGCAAACTGAGCCCTTGCATCCAATAAAAGTCAGACAACCTTTTGACAAAATTGGAATGGACATAGTAGGATTCTTACCAATAACTAAGCAAGGAAATAAATATATAGTTGTAGCAACGGACTATTAAACTAAATGGTCAGAAGCGAAAGCTTTACCAAACGCAAAAGCAGCATTAGTTGTACCTTTCTTTTATGAAGACATAATTTGCCATCATGGATGTCCAAAAGAATTATTAACAGATAGGGAACTCATTTTGTAAATGAAATGCTGAATTCTTTATGCAATGAACTGGAAGTAAAACACAAATTAACGACTGCTTACTATTCACAAACAAATGGACTTGTTGAACGTTTCAATAGAACATTATGTGAAACATTAGCGAAATTTGCTAATGATAATAAAAATGATTGGGATACTTTTATTTCTTCAACCTTATTTGCCTATCGAACAAAATGACATGGTATTATAAGACACGAACCATTCTATTTGACTTATGGAAGGAATGCTACACTTTCAGTGAAGTTTCAAATACAAACAATAGCTATACAAGTCTCAGAAGTAACAGATAATACGACAGATCTTTTGAATTGTGTGTGACAAATAACAGGAAGGATGGATTATAAAATTAATGAGACACAGGCAAATATCAAAAAGTCCCAACAGAAGCAAAAGGACCGACATGACGAGAAACTGCCAAAATTACAACCATTTAAAGTAGGAGACCTAGTCCTAATGTACAAAAGTAATATTCATGATAAAAAGAAACTTGAAGATCGCTAGAAGGGACTGTATTACATTCATGATGATCTTGGTAATGGTATATACAAATTAAGGACCATGGATAGAAAGATCCTCAAAACACCAATAAATAGTGTAAGGTTAAAAAGTATCACCAGTGTGCCTTACCTGAACCTATTGTATTAGTAGAGAATTAAAACCTAGAAAGTTCTGGAAATATTTATAATCTATATAAATAGAACCTTGGTATTATAACTTCCAACATCAAGGAAAAATGAAAACTCTTGACACACTTTCAACATATGAAGAAACTTTCTCTCGCAATTTTCAATTAATTCATGAGGATTTACAAATAACTGTACCAACTGAAGTAACATATCTTGGTTCACCTTATGATGATGCAATGACTATAGAAATAAAGTTTTCTTTAGCATATCGAATATTACTATAAGCTAAGCGAACGAATAATAGGATTTCAATCTTGACTAATGCCTTTTATATCGAAAAATTATTAGAAACTCAAGAAGACCCAATTTTACAAATAATGTATTTCAGAAAACTTACAAAATACTATTATCGTGCATCTATTCGAGTATATTATATTTTTGAATTTTTGGGACCAGAACAAATTACAAAAACTAGGCACACTACTTTAAAAACAGTTGTGAACTTAAGTACCGCTGAATATAATGACCTCGTAGATAAAGCTGCTGATATGTTTGCGAGGATGCAAAATCTAGAAGGAGAGTGATGTTATACGAAAATGATATGGATGACTCAGATAATGAATTTGACTGCGGTGATTAAAATGTCATATATGTCTTCTATGTCATATATCTTATATATTTCTTTTATTTACTATATTATATATATCTCTTTTATTACTTATATCTTATATATTTATTATAGTTATTATATCTCTTATATTATTTATATTTCCTATATATTTTCGAACACTTTATGTATTCATTTTTATATAAATATATCTTAAGTCTTAGAGTAGTTAACGGTAGAGAGTTTTGAAGTAACTTTAGAATAGTCAGATTACTTTTTTAGATAGTTTGATTTAATATAAAACATTTGCACAGTATAGAGCGCTGATAGAGGCAGTACTCATTTGTTAAGACATATTGAATAAACAATCGACCCTTTTTGACTCAATCCATATCAACTTATAAACTTATACCTTCTGCTTACCTTACCGCGCTTTTAACCTTTAAGCGACCCTAAAGAATTGCCTATAACAATATTTTAATGAGTATCATTTCCTACGACATTGAGAGGGAGAAGCGGTGAACCCTCTATTAAGAAACAATTGGTTGAATATGATTCTCCATATCCTTTCATAGCGATTGTTAGGAACGAACTCAAAATCATCATGATTATCGCGTTAAAGTCGAATTAATTCTCTTGCAATGTCAATTGTCCATTCGAATAAAGCTACAACTGGAGCAGCCAAAGCCATAATGATAGAAATAAAAAAAAGGAGAAAGACGAAATAGGTGGGATCGAGAAATAAAACAAAAGAAAAAAACAAAATAAACGGAGATCGAGAAATAAAAAGAAAGAAGGAGAAAATGAAATAAACAGGATCGAGAAATAGAGAAGGAAAAAGAAAAAAATGAAATTAACGGAATCGAGAAATAAAAAAAGAAAAGAAAAAAATGAAATAAACGGAATTGATAAATAAAAAAAAAAGAAAAGAACTAAATAAATGAGATTGAGAAATAAAAAAAAAAGAGGAGAACGGAATAGACAGAATCAAGAAATAAAAATAAAAATGAAATAAACAAGATCGAGAAATAAAAAAAAGAAAAGAACGAAATAAATGAAATCGAAAAATAAAAAAATAAAAGAAAAAAACGAAATAAACGGGATTGAAAAATAAAAAAAATAAAAAAGAAGAGCAGAATAAATGGCGATTGAGAAATTGACGTGAAATAAAAAGTCAAAAAAAAAGAAAAAAAATGAATTAGAAATGGTGATCGAAAAAATAGGTGGAATAAAAAAAAACGAAATATTAAAAAAGAAAAAAAAAAGAAAAAAATGAATTAGAAATGGCGATCAAAAAATAGGTGAAATAAAAAATCGAAAGATAAAAGAGAGAGAGAGAAAGAGAGAAAAAGAGAAAAAGAAAGAAAAAATGAATTTAAAAAAGAAAATGAATTAAAAGAATTGAAATAACAGATAAAATGATGAGAAAAATAATCAAAAAATAAAAGATGAAGGAAACAAGAGAAGATTTATATTCGTGATTTTATTGATAATATATTGTGAAAAATGATAGATTCGTAAGCGTAAATTACATACATTTATATCTTTTATTTTATTAGAGAACTTTTAATAATACAATAAAATTATTATAAAAAACTGATCAATATCTAATA